CTTTGTTGATTCTATTTTATGTTGATATCTAATAAAATTTGCAATGTTTGTTTTTCGTAAAATATTAACAAATAGTGAAATGAATAAATTTGTTAAAATTGTTGTTATTAATAGTCTGAAATGGGGTCACAATCAATAATCATCTTCTGCATTTTAAGTTGCTTACCGGCCGACAACTAATAAGATTATTTATAAAAGCTAATGTACAAAAGAATTTATTACTATTGAATGAATTTATTATATTGAATAATACTTTTTCACTTTCAGACATCCGAAGACAAATACAATTTATAAAAAAGATATAATAAGAAGAAACCTAGTTTTACCAGAAATATTCAATATTTAATGAATCTACAGTTTCATACATTAAAATTCTCATAAATACCCTGTTAACTTTCTATAAGCACTTAATTTCGGTATTCTCGCAAAGTAGGTAAAGATAAGATAGTAGCATCTAAAGCAATGTACTCGTAGTAAAAAGCGTGATTTTAAAGTTTATATAATTTAAAATCACGCTTCACTCGATATTCATGAATATTAAAAAAGAATAGCCAATAAGTCGGATTTGTGAAGACCAACATGTTGAAGCGGATATGTTAAGGCGGATAAGTTACGACGGATTTGTTAAGGCAGATACATATGTTAAGAGTGCGCCTTGAGACCGCCACGATTCGGATTTTGGAGGAGCGGGATGACAAGCTAATATTCTACCATGAGTGAGAAGTATAGATGTTCAACGTATTTATGCGCCAAAACAGTTTTTAATTCACTATAAATTAATTAACAATTAAACGAAACATGTATTTTTCAAAAAAAAAATTTTACCAATCGAGTTTTCAAATTTGGCAATTCAAGATAAATTTCCGACGGATCATTTCCCTAAATATCAAAGTGGTCACTTTTACAGATTCTGAGATAAGTAAATAACGATATCTAGGTACAAAATTATTTTAACATGGATATGTTAAGATGGATATGCTATGACAGATATGTTAGGTAATATGTATAAAAACGGATATGTTAAGGCTTACATGTTTAGCCCATACTATTGAAAAAAATTGACATCTTGTACCAATAAAATCTGCTAATATAATTATTTGATTTTTATATGTGGCATAAGGAAATGCTTAAAATTAACAGTATATATAATTGGATAAGATTCAATATCAGTCATACCCACAGAGTACATTATATATACAGGAACCGAATAGTAAGTAAAATGTTATTGCGGTTAAATATTTTCAAAACTATAAATATTAGTTGCTAAAATAAATGAAGACATCTAAAATGTACATAAAATATTTTATATTTATATGTTAGGTAAGTATCTACATATATTATTTTTTGGTTTATTTATATAAAATAAACCTTCTAAGCAAATATTTAATTTTGTACCTCAAATTCTCTACAACTACTTACTGACCCGAACGAAAAACAATTTCGTATGCTAACATAGCTTCTATTTGCCGCATATATAAAACGTTTAAATTTATAAATGCGACACAAATAAATTAAACACTGCCTATTTGAAATATATATATATATATTAGAACGTAAAATGTATACATAGGTTCTTAAGTTTGCAATGATCCATAGACCATGGTTAGTAATATTTTTCAGCAAATCTATACATATAATAGAATAGTAGCTTAGCAAAATCTGTATATATGAATTATTTTTTAAACACGTATTGTGTACTGAATATAGACCCCAAAACGATAGTTACAATTTGATTGTCTTTACGTCTGTTTGTTTGATTTTTGTGCATTTCACGCAAAAAGTAATGAACCTATTTAACTAAATTTTGTGCAGTGATAACTTATTACTCGAGTCAACCATATTTCTATATTCTAAGATACAACCAATCAAGCATATTTCTATATTCTAAGATACACTCGCAATAGCTATTTATATTTAAAACGTACGAAGCGAGGGCAAGTCGTATGTCGTCGACGTAGTAGGTTTGAAAACATGAAGTGCCTACCTATTTCAAATTGTCGATATAGGACTTATTTCCGTTCCGAGAAAACGATTCACTTCGATATCCTTATTCACATAGGTATCACGAGAAATGTTTAATGTGACACTTTTTACACGGTAATGTTATAACATACACTAGCGACTCACCCTCGCTTCGCTCGGGTTCGTCCCTACTATGTTTATTTCTCAGAGATGAGATATCCGCTGTAAAAAGTACCCTTTATGTTGACCCGGATAACCAGCTATCATCATACCAAATTTCATCAAAATCTCTCCAGTGGTTTTTCTGTGATGCGGTAACGGACAGACAGACAGACAAAAATTCTAAAAACTATAGATTCGGCCTCTGTATCGATAATACAGTCTATTTCAATAAGAATTTCCAAAAAAATATTTAATGTACAGATTCGGCTTTGTTACAATTTTATTATATGTATAGATGAGTTTAGTTTTAGAATGAGTTTTAACATCTTACAGTATTATAGTTTGAAATATTGAAGCATCTAGACAATTACAGTTTTGTTCTATAGCCACACGTGACACGATGCTCTGTGCCCGTTACACTTCACTTCGCTCTAAACTTTAATTTAAACTAGTTTACAATAGTCACGTTTAACAACTGGTTCTTTAATACGATTTAGTAAGTATTACAGTAAGATAACTTTTTTATAAATTGTATTTGTATTCGGTTGTCCGAAACTAAAAAAGTATTATTAAATATAGTAAATTCATTCAATAGTAATTAATTAATTTGTACATTAGTTTTTATAAATGATCTTATTAGTTGTCGGCAGTTAAGCAACTTAAAATGCTGAAGATTATGAATGAAGATATTGATTGTGACCTATTTCAGATTTTATTAATCGGGTCAACATATAGGATACTTTTTACTGAGGGAAAATATCGCATTTCTGAGAAATCTACAATAATAAACGTCAATAAAAATAAAATACTAAAGGTTAAAACGTAACTAGAGACGAAACCGAGCGGAGCGAGGGTGAGTCGCTAGTTCTAGTATACTAGAATTATAATTCTAATTTAGAAATAGTATTTATAGTTATTTTTGAATAATTTTTCATAAGTTAAAAATTAATTTTAACTCCTTGAAATTTGGTATAGTAAATTACATACAGGAACTTTTTTTTTAAATCGGAACGTCCTTTTATAAATCATAATATATCCAGCAAGCTATTATACCATAAAAAGTAATGACAAGAAATGTTGAGACCTTTATTGTAGACTGTAGCAGTATCTAAGAAATAAAACTACAATTGGGTCTAAATTCATAATTTATTAGTTCTAGTTTTTTCTTTGAATTTCAAATAAAATATTACTAAGTTAATTAAATTGGTTCAGTCAGCAGTATTACAATTGCATCATCTTCGTACTACGCGGCCCTTTATAAAACGGGGGTCATTTTAAGTGATACTGCCTTAAAGAAAATACAATTATAAGATTTCGGAGTCGCAATTCCCGGAGAAGCTAATTATGAATATATCACATTTACTGTAAATATAGCTGATAATTTTAAGTAGCCTATACATTTTTAATGCATTTTTATTTGAGAAGTGGTCATATACCTATACATATGTATAAGAAAAAATAACTAGTAGTTTCACAAATGAAATAAAATTTAATTTGTAATTTTTTTATTGAAATTATGAAGAGAAACAAGTTTTAAAGGACCTCTGCATGTTAGGTGGGTCTCCACTCAAGTCGTTCCAAAGGTTCGGGTCCCTTCGGGCTCATGAAATCTAAAGAGACATAAATAGTAATAATAACTTTTACTAACACCATATATAAAAAGCATCATGGTCTTTCTCATGCCTTTATTCAATTAACCAATTCAATTACCAAGTAATATTTTTTTAAATCTATTGAAAAAAGTGAACCAATAAGTAAATTGCCACGTAGCACTTTACAATCCTAAAATTTTCTGTCCTCAACGGTTTACATATAGCTTCTGAAATTGAGTTAAAAATATATTCTCAGTATTTTAATTTATTTATACTGTGACTTCTCATTGTTATGTACTTATCTTAAACTCGTATTAAGCATGTGTATCAGTTCACTTATCAATATAATAATAATAATTATTATTAGGGTTTCTGTAGCCAAAAGGCTAAAAGGTAAAACTTTAAAGGGTATTTCATCATGTCCGTCATCTATTCGAATGCTACAACCATATTAGTGGAAGAGTATTGAAGCTACATTTCTAAAAAAAGAAGAGACAATATTTTTCACAATAACTTTGTTTTTCTTATCAATCTTATAATTAATATGAATATATTTATTTCGCCAATAAAATGAATATTGTAGATGAGTAAATATTTTATTTTACTTTTAACGTACCAAATTAGTTTAATTAGTATTTTAGAAAGAAAATTCGAATATAATCATCATTGAAAATTTAAGGAAAACATATAAGTAATCTATTTTTATCATATTTTTTTACATATACATAACACTACATATGATAATTAATTATCATCTTTTATAAAATATAGAAAATAAGGACACAGATTTCCATTTAAAATAAGTTTATTTATTTGAAAAATATTTTTTATAATATAATTTTTATTCAATTTTTTCGAAAACATTAAAAAAAATATGACATATTTCATATGAGTATACTTTTTATAAGAACATATATAATTTCCAATTAGATTTTTAGATTTTTTTCATATAACGTTTACATTTCTAATATTTTCTTAATTAATAAATTAATAATATCTATGTCAACTACCTAGTAATAACTAATAGTACTGACAGTTTTACATTATGTTATTTAATCGAAGTAACTTTGATGTAATTTGGAGACATCCAAGAAGTCTTAGTATAAGGGAGTATTTTGCATAATAAGAAAGTTGAGTCACGTAAAGAGATTTAAAGTAAGGATGAAAATGTAGATCGAACTCATTAAAACTGATTTAGCTTAAAGATATAAGGGAGGCGTTTTGGAGAATAATAAGTTAATGGCGGTATAGTTAATTAGTCCCTTAATGTCTTGTTGCTATTTATCGTGCGTGAGAAGCGGGGAAGTCAGAAGAACGCTTCGAACCGATGGGGAACTGCGATAGGTCGATCTCGTCCATGGGATAGTCTGGTCTATACCTCTTCTTGTCAAAGTTAGACCTGTCAAAAAGTTTTTTTAATATATGTTAAAATTTTGCTACACTTACATAATCACAATACACAATCTAATAAATTATATGTAAATCATAATATCGAGCCTAACATTTATTTATTACAAATTACGATATAATTTGTTTATTTTGGTTAGTAAATAGTAGGTATGGTAAGTAATGAAATGTTAAATATTTGTGTTAGCATTTAAATATTACACAGGGGTGTCCAAATTGTTGGATCCATAAAGATGATAGAATCTCTTGAAAGGGAATGGCATAGAAGTCTGGTCGATTTCATCAAAGTTCCGCTTTTTTACGAAGCTGTCGAGGTTGGATCTGAAAAAAAAATTACAACAGAAGTGTAGAGTGAACCTTTTTACTACATAACATTTATGAATGTTATATTATAATTATCTGTATCAACGTAAATAATTTATACATGTAATATGTAATATTTTAACATTAATATGTAATTATAATCAAAAGTTTTTTATAAATTTTATTATAGGTAGACTTTTATTATTATATCAATTTATCTATGATTTTAAGATAGTTAAATATTGATAAGGTTATGGTCAAAATACAAATATGTATGTATAGATTTAGTTGGCATTATATTATTTTCTGGATGCTTTGAAGTACATACTTACTTATTGAAAATTACTTATGCAATGTAACTATTGACTAAAAACTAAGCCTAAATTAGAAGCCAAACAACTCAGCTACTCATCTACATTACAGGCGAACTTTCAGTTTCAATTTACAACAAAGCCCCTTGGCGAAACGCAAACTTACATAACATGGATACCGAGAATAAACACTGAGTCAAAATGTTATCCATGTAATACATTAGCGTTGTAGTACCTAACTCATCCAGTCGAAGGAAGGATCTTGGGAGTCATTAAGAAATTTTGAAATTGTTATATGGAGCATTAACGACCTCATCGTGTTGAGTCGTGGAAAGCACATAGGGGCTAGTTCTCGCTTCTACAACTGAATATTTACTATAGATGATGTCTATGTACTATAGATATGTGCTATTTTTTGTACCGTCCGATGGACAAAGAAAGCCCGTTATTGTCTGGGTATCCGTGAAAAAGAGAACAATATGTTTTAATATTTCCTCTCTTTCTATCAAACGTAGAGTAATAATAAACTAGAAAATAAAAGTTTTTTGTCCGCAACATGTCCCCTTGAATGCATAATACTACATTTCTTCGTCAACTTTTTCTCGTTTTAATTCTTTTTTACGCAGTTTCTTTATGTTTTTTATTCGAGTTTTTTTCAAGTTTATTATTTAATTTTCAATTTACAGCTAAGGTAATAGCCAATTAGATATTTGGAATTATATTTAAACTATTTCTTATCCTAAATTACTTTTAAATATATAAGTTTATTTTGATACCCCACTCGACAGGCCACACAACTCTATACGGTACTCGCTGTACACACAAATTGGCCCCTGAGATTTGCCATCTTAACTTTTAATAATATTTATATAGCCTATAACACTCGTTTTATCAACACAAATTTAACGATGTGTGAATTGTCAAAATCGGGTTAGCTGTTTAATACTTACGAGAGAACATAAGATGGGACATACATAAAAAGTAAAATACATAGTCGGTTAAAAAGACAAGCATAGGATTAACAAACTTTAAAATAAATCCTATACTTAGTTTCTAGTGTATTATAAATATGATTAAAATTAATATGCTATCGACTCACCCTCGGTCCGCTCGGGTTCGTCCCTAGTTACGTTTTAACGTTTAGTATAGATTTCTCAGAAATTAATATTTATTATTACTTAAGAAATTAATACTATTTTCCCGCAGTAAAAAGTATCCTATATGTTGACCCGGATAATCAGCTATCATCATATTAAGTTTCAACAAAATCTATCCAGTGGTTTTCCCGTGATGCGGTAACAGACAGACAGATATAATAGAGATAAAGTCCATTTCAATAAGATTTTCCAAAAAATATTTAATGTACAGATTCGGCTTAGTTACAATTTTATTATATGTATAGATAATGAAAATGATTGTTTAACGAAGATATTATGTAACTTAACTATAAGCTGTTAAATTCTGTAAGTATTCTTGTAAAATTGAAGAATTTGGTTGATGTAACATAAATTTCCCTTGTTGCTCGTTTGACCAGGGTAAACAATCATTTAGAATTCATAGTCAAAGTCTACTGACATATCATTACGAAATCTAACTTGGAATTGAATTGCAGATGGTTGTGAACGAAATTATCATTATTTATTCAATGTCTTTTTTTATTTCTATAACGACTTAGGTATCTTACTTTTGTATTTTAAAACTATGTAGTAAAAAAAAATATTAAATAATTTTCATTAAAGTTCAATAAATATATGAAAACACCCACAAACAATGTTTCATTACCTAGTAAATCTTATCTTGACGTAAGTTTATTAAGTTATTATGTGGACGTATCTCCTTATTTAAAGTTAAAAATTATAGTGGTAAGCAAAAATAACAGAATACGAGAAGGAATAATCAATGTGAAGCAATTTATGAAATCATCACCGATACTAGCTGTGCCCCGTGGTTTCACCAGCTTTTATCGATACTGCTCCGTTCCCTTGGGTAGTAGCATGATGATAGGTATATAGCGTATACCTATCATCATAGCCTTTCTGAATAAACGGGCTATCTAATGCAAAAATAATTTTTCAAATCGGATCAGTAGTTCCTGACTTTAGCGCATTTAAACAAACAAACTAACAAAAAAACTGACTCTTTATAATCTTATTATAGATTTACATACTATTTGCACTTTCTTAAAAATGGTATATGAGCGATGTAAAAATGTGTACTGTTTTAACTATATTTTTCAGAGCAGAGACAGTATTGATGTTGCATATCACTTACCGGTCAATCTCGTCGAAATTGCGCTTGGGAAGTCCTTCTCCGTAATATCCGTACTCGATTGGTGATCCTTGTGACCAAGAGTCATGTTTCCGTCCATATGGGCTACAATAAAAATATTTATTATGAACAATGTAATAAATTTATATAAAGTTAACCGAAAAAACTATTCATTTAAAAATATTCATTTATTTATATACACGTACACATATTTACACGTCCTTCCATAGTAACCTTCCACGGGTGTATAAAAACTTATTATATTTTATATAATATAAAATATAATAACATTTCCAGGATAAAAGATGAAACAAAATAATAACAGTTTGTTCTTCTACTTGCATGCCTCTATAACGCTTTATTTCAACTTTATGAGCCTTTACGATTCAATAAACAAAGACCTGTAGGAATATGAAGGAAGCACGATTATATGAGCTACAAAATAAATTTTCCGATGGATTGTTTTAAAACTACAAATGCGCACTCTGCAGCGCCGACGGCTTAGTCTTTCCTATCTGAATAATTTATCTGCAGTTACGCCGATTTTGCAACCTTACATCTGTGTTCTTTGTAGACAATTCCTATGAATATATACACATTTTTTTATTACAAAAAAAGAAAGGAAAAAAATGTTACTTTGAGTATTTTAGAAAGGAAAATTGAATTCTGGTTTCCTCATATTGTTTGTATTTATGTACATATCTGTGGGACCTGAAGTTATTTTAAACTAGCGACTGACCCTCGCTTCGCTCGGGTTCGTCCCTAGCTTGTTTCCCCATTCAAACTGTCATCCCCATTTTCACCCCCCTTAAGGGACGATTTCCGGGATGAAAAGTATCTTATGTCCTTCCCAGGGTATCAAACTATCTTCTTACCAAATTTCATCTAAATCGGTTCAGTAGATCCAGAGATTACCCCCTACAACGTCACAAACTCACAAACTTACAAACTTTTCCACTTTATAATATTAGTATAGATAAACATAATTAATATAACAATTTGAAATACATCCGTCGAAAATATAAAACATAAAATATCTTACCTGCCGTAATCGTATCTCCTACCCAAGAAGTAGGGGAAGTAGTTAAGGCGTAACTCTCGAACCTGACGCATCAAGTGCCCACCACCAAGAGGATCCAAATTACGAGGCTTGTGACCTAGATAATACATATTTTTAATAATATGCTAAAGTAATATTTTATATTACATACACTCTTAAAAACATCTTACCTCTCTAGCTTCGTTGGGCTTAAATGAACCCGTTCCATGACTGTCACGAACTGAAGCTTTAAAGCTTCAACTATCTATGCGAAATTGATTATAAATGCACTACTGTAATACTTTTACAATCGAGGGTTGAAGAATTATTAGGATAAGGATATTGGATATTGAAGATAAAATAATGTCGAGAGGTTTTTTATTTGCACGATATTTATTTCACATTTTACTCTATTTAATAAACGTTTAATAATAAACAACACTAATATTATAACATTCTAATTAAACACAATTAAATATATCACATATATAATAAATTTTATGGGAATTGAAATATAAACGAAATATTAATTTTTGACAATTATTTGGCTTAAACAAAATTCCCACCCCCGAGAGAGTCGACGTGTCGAACGAAGTTACTGCCTCCAATAGAGTCTAAGTTTCGCACAAGATTTCCGCCTCCCAAGGAGTCTAAGGTTCTTTTAACCAGATTTGGTCCACCTATTTGATCGAGATTCTTCTTAACGAAATTACTACCGCCAATGGAGTCCAAGTTCCTTACTAAGTTTCCTCCTCCAATAGGGTCTAGATTACGAACAAAGTTGCTGCCCCCTAGAGGATCGAGAAATCTAGCATATTGCATTTTTTCATCAGTACTTCTACCTAATAGCGATGACCCTCCAATTCGGTTGAAATGCTTAGCATCAAATCCTAGACTCCTCCCAAGGAGAGTGTTGCCACCTAGTCTATTTGTTCTTCCATAAGCATTACCTTCGTTATTGATGTTTCTTCCTAAAATAGAACTTCCACCGAGGTTGCCCAAATTTCTATTGGCAATTTCGTTTTCATACTGTACCAGAAATCTATAAAAGTTTTCTAGTTCTTCTTTTTGTCCATAATCTGTAACAAAATAATTTATCAAAAAATCATTAAAATATCGTGATCCATAAAATGAAATTAATTTATCCCCATTCGTACTCACCCAGTTACAGAAGTAAGTGCTCGATAATATTTTGCAGTGCAGTTGTTATTTTGTGCAGAAGAAGTACTCTGTGCAGGAGTCCATCACCGTGAAAATGTGAAGGGGATTACTTGCTTGGTTATTAAAGTGCAGAATTATATTAGTTTTTTTAGTGCAAATATTGTGCGTGGATCGGGGTTAAATCGTTAATTGGTAAAAAGTTGTGTTGACAAAAATCAGTTGTTTGTTAGATTTGCTTAAAGTGCTTTGGAAGTTTTAATTAATAAATATTTTATGTGATAAATAAGTGGTTTTTTTTATATATAGGGGACACATTCCGAAGTGCAAATTCAAAAATGGGATCGTGCGTACAAATGTATATCCGGAATATATACCAAAAAACATGTAAATTTATCCTTGCTTACCGCTTGTATCGTAGCTATCACCAGAGTGATGCTCTCCCACTCCTACGTCTTGGTCCTGTTTATATTGAAAATATATAAGTTGTTTACATATAATTATTTACCTTACGGACTTAACGGAAGAGATAAATTATATTATTAAGCACGTACAATTGGATCGTTTTAAGCTGTTTAACTAACAAACTTTATGGGAATCTATAATTGAAATATTTCTTTGAATAATTCAATTAGTTGAGAGGACTAAACCCGTATAAGCTTTAGATCTTTATTAAATTTTCTTATTATCATTAATTCGTTGTTTACACAGAAAATTTCCTTTTGTCGAGCACAGTGATCAGTGTCTGATAGGAAGCTTACTGGTTATTAAATATTAGGTCGATTGGTTGTTCCAAAGTAAAATTAGGTACTTTAATTAACTTTGGTACCCATCAAATGATTTTCTTAAATTTCCAATATTTTTTTTATAACTAATAATAATTAATATTTATTTCAACTAAGCAAATATTTTTACTATTATATGAATAGACAACAATAATTATTATTAAAAAATTCCATTTATATTAGCTTGTAGATGATACGGATATTACTCGTAGAATTTAGGACGATATATTCAGAATAATTTACAAATTCTGTAAATAGGATCGTTTTATAACGATTTTTATAATTAATAGTTCTTTTAAAAAAGCTGTGAATTTTTTATTAAAATACCTGGTGTAAATCAGCGTTACAGCAGAGAAGAAGAGTGGCCACGGCCACAGCCACGGTGCACCCGGTTCGCATCATTACACCTAATACATACAATGTGTTTATTTATGGAAATAGGTACAATAAAAATGAATGTTCCAAATCTTAAAATTAAAGGTAATATTTTGATTTCAGCGGCGACTAGTTAAAAAATTAGTTCGCTTTTCCCAATTATATATTGGCCTAGGTAGGTAATAGGTATATTAAAACGATTCATTAAAGCATATCAGTTTAAACTGAAAAGCCGTCGTTATATTTGGAAAAAAGATTTAATATCTTTCTGTGATGTGCAAAATAATGCAAAAATAGTGACAGTTAAAGATAAAATTTGTACATTTTAATATGTATTGTAGATATTTTCTTTAAAAAAAAAACTTGAATTAATACCAAAAAAAAAATATTACTTTGTATCCCGCCCGGAATTCGATTCCCGATACCTATAACCATATTGTGCGTGGAATAATGCAAAAAAAAACTGCATGAAAACTCTAAAACACGCGTTTTCTCAGACATAAGAATCTAGATCGATTTATCGCCCCCGAAACCCCTTGTATACTAAATTTCATGAAAATCGTTGGAGCCGTTTCCGAGATTCAGTTATATATACAAGAATTGCTCGTTTAAATATATTAGATAATCTTATGTTATTTTATTTTGTTGGAAGGTCATAAGAATCCTAAATAATCAAATTCATCATATAGGTAGTAAAATTTAAAGCGAATTACGCTCGACAAGAATATGGAACAAACAGTCCATAGAAATGTAGAACGAGAATTGAAATTAAGCATTTGCATTTATTATTAAATTAAAATCTACGCGTACGCCATTCCATAGTTATATTTCAACTCCATATGTTAACCCAATTTTATCTTTGAATTTTTATACCTATGTTTAGTAACATTTTACTTTATTAAAATATTTTCAGCTTACTTTGCACTTGGCTTTCGTTGTATGGCTGCATTAAGTACAATTCAACCATTAAACTTCGTGAGAAAGTTGGAGAAGTTTGCATAAGTTTGTATCTATGAATATTAAGGACGTTTGTGTAAAATTAACACACAAACTAAATATTGCTATTAATTTTTAACTAAATATATATTTAATTGATTTTAAGGTTTTGTACCTAAAGATATCATTAATCTATTACAAAGCTATGTGGACTCTCCCCTTCCTCTTCACGTATCTCTAAATGGAAGATTCGCAAAAGAATGCCGTAAATAATGGACTGTATAATAAGTTGGATTCAATCTATACCAATATTATGAAGAGGTAAAGTTTGTAAGTTTGTGACGTTGTCCCTACATCATACCTATTTAGATGTTTGGTAAGAAGATAGTTTGAAACCCTGGAAACGACATAAGATACTTTTTATCCCGGAAATCATCCCTTAAGAGGGTGAAAATGGGGATGAAAGTTTGTATTGGGAGGAAGCCAGGGGCAAACCCGAGCGAAGCGAGGGTGAGTCGCTACTCGCTAGTTAAAAATAAAAGGCGAGTCGCATTTCGCATCAAAAGTTTCAGCTAATATCACATTATGTTAAAACTCCAAAGTTTGTATGTAAGCGTATTACTTCTTTACGCTGTAAAAGCTCAACTGATTTAGAATTTAAATGAAAATAATGTATTGGATAGTATTTTGAGCTTAGATTTTGAATTAACACATAAGTTACTTTTTATTGGTGTATCTATCATATCAGCGGAACCACGGGCGAAAACTAGTTTAATATACGAAATGTCAAGCAATAAGTGGGATATTGTGAAAATTTTATTTATTATAGCGTCCCTGGGTTGATTCCTCATATAAACTTTCATGCCTATTTTCATCCTTGTGAGGGATCTTTCCTGGGATTTAAAAACCCTATGTCCTTTCCAGGGTCCCAAACTATTTCATTATCAAATTTCATCTATATTGGTCCAGTAGTTTCGGAGCTTATTCGGTACAAACAAACAAAAAATCTTTCCTCTTTATAATATTAGTATACATTTATTAATATATAATTAATGTTTTATGCAGTTGTATTGCTGTGATTAATTTATAGTATATCAAGAAAATAGTGTGTCACTTCAGTTATTCCTATAAAGATATTCTGCAATTATATCTATATCTTCGCTGCAGGATAATTGAACGTCCAATTAGTTGGCAATTGTAATGGGATGTCTAGTTATTATTGTCAAGGGAATTCAACTTTTTCTCTAATGTTATTAAATTTATACTAAAATGTGTTATGTTATAAACGAAGTTACGAACTTTCCTTTAAAATAAATTTAAGGTTCCTCACGAGTAAAGTTGCTAATTTTTTAAACTTTCCACTTCCATATATTATGTTTATCGCCATATCCCAAAGGCTTTTCTTTCACAATTAATTTGGTTTAAGAGTGTTTTCTTTTACACCTACAAAGTATCGTAATGACTCAAATTGAATAAAGCTACACTTTCACAATAAAATTTGTGGCTAATCTGAATAAAAATACGCGAACTGAATTTTATAACGGACAAACAACTCAATATATTTTGTACATCTGTGTTTTCTATTGATTTCTTTCATTCACGTTTTATTGAATTCGTACACGTGCAAGTAATTGTTTGATTACTCGCAATTTTTACTCTAAATATAGAAGAAAATTTGTTCTTGCGGTATATTTAAAGTTTATCAAATAATAACATATCTGATTTGAAAACATTCGTACTATAAGCAAATGAATAACATATTTCTCACATTTGTTTGGTCTAAAACCAAGTATGTCTCTATTTTGTCACTAGGATGAAATAGAGAGTGTACTGCGAAGTAGCTTTTTTTTGTTTACTCCACAGCGAAAATGGCCAATTAACACATAAAACTTTGGAGTTGAGGCGTCCATAAAAAACGAGAAGTCTAAAAAACAAGAGGTCTTTATACTACAATATGAAGTAGAAAATATTTTCAGTTTAGCATTAATATCTCTGTAGTGTATCATGTAATTTTATGAATAATTAAAATGTAGAGTTCAAAGTGTTTTTTATTATATTGTACAACATTAATAATTGTAAACAGAATTATTATTATTAACGACCTCAATTAATATCCCTACAGGCATTTAAAACTTAAAATCATGAGACAATGCTTTCATTTCTAAAGCATTAATCGTCTCGTTTTAAGCCTTTTAAATGAACAATTAATTTAAATAAACTAACAGTTTGATTATTAATGTTTATGTTAAAGTAAATATTAATATAGGTAACAGTAACTTTCTCACATAACATTTGAATAGTTTAAACACAAAATGTAATATTTTGACAGGGAATAAATTCCTCGCTTGTATTTTTAGTTGCGTTCAAATTATAGAAATAAATAAAAAAAAAATCTTAGAAAAAAAAGAAAAAATATTCGGAATATTTTTCTATAATATGTAACATTATTCAAATATACGTTGTTTTTGATTTTGCTCCATTCCATTTGGTGTATTTTTTTACCCATTTAATTTGTTTTTTTCTTTCCGAATTTTATGTATTTATATCAATGACAATGTATTTAAGTGCCGCATTTTTAATTTATTTATATTTATATGTGTTATAATTATTAGTATATTTGTAATGTATATAAAGATAAATAAATTATGACTAAAATGTTGAAAATTTTAAAAATATGAATATTATATTTAATATTATTACTATATATTTTATATAAATTAAAAAAGCTATCATGTAAAATTATGCAACATCAAAATGTTTAACATTTTTTATATATATTAAAAAATAAAAAAATAAGAAAATGGACTAACCTGTTGTGTCTTTAAGCGGTAGTGCTAGGACGGTCGGAGCGGTGGTTGGAATGAGGTTTGACGAAGGCTTGTGCGCTTATATACTCTGGGCGGGCGGTCCCGCCTCCCGCCTTGTTAGCTTGCAATCCTGCATCATACATATACAATGATAAGTCCGTCATCATATATTATCTATCAATCATTAAATATATTAGGAAATATTCACTTAAAAATATATTTTTTTAATTTATGAATAGGTAAGTATGTATATGAATTAATTATTTCAAATTATTATTAAAACAACAATAATTTAAATTGGCGTACCCATTAGAAGATAAGCTAATAAATAAATTGTGCGTGCCATTTCTTGTTCTTCTCATTGTCGTTGAAAAATAACGAAAACATGCCAATTTTAAATCGGATTCACGTATAGGGTTCCATTATGATTAGGTCAGTTATCAACAAAAATGTGTGGTTTACCAACACGGTACTCTCGATGCGCACTCACATTTGACCGATTATATTTAATTTAATTTTTGAAGTTATACAGTTTCTTTTGACACGTTTGTAAAACATTATGAGAGTACAGCCAAAAAGCGGCATGATGAAGTTAGCTGCATTCCTTTTACAGAGAGTTATGACATACGGGATGAAATCTGTAGTCATTTTTGTTCTTTTATGCCAAAGAAGTATAACTTTTTACGTGCGTACATAAGTACAAACACACCTTTTTTATTCTAGTAACTACGTGGGTATTAATCAGGCTTCATTGGTATTAAAACCAATGATACATAATAGTATTGTATAATGAACAATACTTCCTAATACTTCTATGTCATTAGCAAAAGCTTACCATCTTTATACATTCTATATTAAAAATACAATAATACACGATATTAGGCCCCTTTGTAACACTAACAAGTTGGCTTCTTTTCCTTTATCCTTTGTATTTGCACAGTAAGCTTATTAAGAAAACGAATAATTTAGTATTCCTAAACAATCAAATAAAAAAAATTTAAATAAAAAAAAACTGTTGCGTAACTCTCGAAAAATACCTAAAAATAATAGTCAAGATAGTTGATCCAAGATAAGGAATGAAGATTAGGAAAAGGCCGCGGTAGAAAGCACAGGCAGAGAAAGAGCAATACTGTTCAGAAAAAAATAACGCCTCGGGTAAGGATTAAACCGAAGCTCGCACAATATATGTACATTATTATGGTACATTGACTTTTTTGTATGCAGTATTTTATAATAGTAATTTTATAAATTACTCAAAAATTTATAAAAGTCTTCTGATAATATAATCCTTCAATCATACTACAACGCGTGCATGTAGTGAGAAGTTGAGGGCAAAAAATAACGAATACGAATTAACAAAACTATGTAAACCTTGGATAAAGTTTTCTATTAATATTTTAATCGTATTATTTTAGGAAAATTAAAAATTTGAAATGTGCTTTTATTATCACATTATAAATATGCCCCAAAGTCTCAAGTTTCCCAAAAGTCACACAAAAAGAAATATAATTAATAAACATTAAGAAGTTTTTAGTATACAGTTTAATATCTTTCCTACGGCATCTATTCTGGTATATGACAGAGTTTCAAGAGAATGACAGAGTTTAAATATCGGTCAAATCACGCCTTGTTTCATCTTTAAAAGCTGTTTCCCAGACCCTTTGTCGAACTACTTTTCTCCACTCCTGGCGTCTTACTGCTAATGCCATCTAACCCAGAGGCTCTATTTTGTATCCTTTAAGGCTTCTGTTATGAAAATCTTTACACCTTAATTCTAAAGACATCGTAATTGACACCTCATCAAGTCTACCTCAGTACACTTCTGCACAGTCAATATATTTGTTTTCATAAGTAATCACACTATATTAATTAATTATGTTACGATGTTACAGATGCCTACCAGAGGTGTAAGCGATATAGTGTACGGATGTGTTTGCGATAAAAATGCATGCTTGAATCTTGGTTTAAAGAAGCAAACAGAGTTAGTTTAATTTTTTTTAAGTAGGCATCCGATAAAAAAGGTTTTCCCGAAATTCTAAGTTGTATGGAACAACGTGATTCCTAGGTCCAATCTACTTAATATTTTGCATAAACATTCCTTAACAGAATTGATGGAAGGCGTGCTTCGTATTTCATTTAAATTCATCCCCTAACGGGTATAAAGGCGGTAGAAAGTTATTTACTAGGTAATTTGCTTCGAAGTTGATATCAATACTCCTTAGTGCTTTTGATTTATGTATGAAAACTCAATCCGATTTTATTCAAAAAAGTATGAACTAAAGCTTGGTGCAATGCAAATACTCTTAAAAATATCCTTCTTTCACATCGAAACAGATTGACGGATTGGCGTGATTTTTTGTGTGGAGATAGTTGGAGTACTGGAGAATGACATAGGCTACATTTTACCGTGGGAGATTATCTCATTCCCACGGGAAAACACGTTATAATGTATTATAATGTATTTGGGTTGTAGCCCAAAACAATATTAATGATCAGAATTACTTGAAACTTGGTATTAATATTCCTCAATACAATTAATTAAATCTATACTAATATTATAAAGAGGTAAAGTTTGTGAATTGTGAGTTTGTGAGCTTGTGACGTTGTAGGGGGTAATCTCTGGATCTACTGAACCCATTCAAATGAAATTTGGTGAAAAGATATTTTGAGACCCTTTTTTTTTTTTTTAACGTTGGGAAATGCATTTACGCACGACGTGTGGAACTCACCGGCGTAATACAGCCAATTTTGAGACCCTGGGAAGGATATAAGATACTTTTTATCCCGGAAATCATCCCTTAAGGGGATGAAAATGGGGATGAAAATTTGTATGGGGAATCAAAATAGGGACGAACCTGAGCGAAGCGAGGGTGAATCGCTAGTTATTTATATGTTAGTGTGACATTACTGCGTTATCATTGCATAAATATTAATTGAATTTTAAGGTTCCAAAATTTAGTAAGCGTAACCACGATATTTTTGACCTGCCATGTACTAGAACGAAATATACTCGAAATACCTTTATACTTCGCTCATGTAATGAGTATAATAAAAAAATTACAAGTATAGACATATTTTCGAATTCACTTTTAAGTTTCAAAAATAGTATTAATAACCTATTGATTAATTGTTGATTGTGTATTTTATGTATTTTATGTTTTTCCTTATTTTTTATTTTTTTATTATTCATGTTAACCAGTGTTTAATTTTGTAATTTTTTAGTTTAGTGTTTAGCTCTTTGTTTTTCTCATTTTCATTGTGGTCTGCTTCATATTTGTATTGTTTAATAGTGGAAACTTCATTGGTTTATGTGTTATCTATTATTATTAATTATTTATGTAATATCGTACTGTTTGTTTCCCTAAAATAAATAAATAAAATAAATAAAAATAAATTTTACTGGAGAGTGATATAAGCTACTTTATGATAAGAATAAATAAATTGTGCATATATTTTTATATATAAATAATATCTTGGGATGCCAGAATACAATAGAATTAATATAGGTACTATGGTAACATAAGGTTGCTAGCAGCTATTTTATCTCTCCTAGCTAGTCTCCTAGCTAGTTTCTCTCCTTTTTTTTCCTGTTGACCCTATTGAAAAATAATCTTTAACTATTTTGTATTAAAGTAGTTTTTACCTTGATCCTGAATTAATTCCTTAACAATAGCATTTGTTAGAATTTTCCACCTGGTCTCTTTGTTGTGTAATTTTTTCTTGACTTTATGATTCTTTCAGTAACTCATATGTACCGATGGATAGCTAACGATACTAAGATGTTTTTAAAATGATCGGCAGGATAAGTGTCATAGGATTTTTTACAAATAAAATGCGTTATTCAAAGAATTAAAATTAAAAATCCAAAAGGTGTACAGTATTGGGGCTCTAATTTAAAAATGCTTGAAGATTGTTTTTCTTAAGAAGCAAGAAGTAAAAAAAATATGTTGAAATACATAGTTCTTTTTTAAAATTATTTTTTAAAGTTGCAAACCCCCCTTTACCTATAAAAAAAGAAAAAATAATAATAACTCCAAAACGATACACTTTTGCGTAAGCATTTTGGGGGGCGTTTGATAGCTAATTGTATAAATGTTTTAAAAACAGGTAGCCAGAGATCGTAGGTTTGAACCTGCCCAAAGTTCTATAAAAAAGCACTTAACTACTAGCAATAACTATTAGCAATAAGTCTAATTGAATAAATTTTATTTCATATCATTTCATACCTATTTGCAATTATCTTAACATGCCTATGCCTAAGTCGACAGGCATCCATTGTTAGAAGTCTTTCGTGGATAAGCTATGATATCCATATTATGTACATGAAATTAATAACGTACATGTGAGTGTACAAGTGAATTCTTAACGAAACTTACATAAAAAATGGAATTGAAACCAATAGGATTAAAAGAACAACTTCTAACAAAATGAAGTACTTTAACACATTTTCACAAGATCTCTGTGTGCATTTTCAATTCTAACATTCTTCCCGGTCATTATGTTAAATATTGCATATTATCTTTATATCTTTTGACGTCGAATTACTAATAAATTCTCATATTAAGTGTATCGTTTATATTTACACGTACATATACGGTAAAAAAAGCTTATCTGGTGACTAAAAGTACAATATTAAAGCACCTTTTGCAAAATGCTTAATGCGACTATATGTTACCTACGACTTATAAATGATATTTAAAATTTTTTTTAAGTCAAAATCAAATTTATGTGTAAAATTATACTTATTTTATTTATTTAGATTATAAATACAACATAAAATTAATACATTTTTTTAATGACCAATGTAAAAATTTGATATCAGATCGATCGAGCTTTTCGAAATGTGCTATAAGGTAACAAGATTTGTAATGTTTTATTCATCAAGTTTGTTTTAGTCAAGCACCATAATTATCGTGTACCACTTCCTAAAATGTTCAATACTTAATTAATTATAACTTTTTAATGAGCCTCGTTTGAGAACTTTTAAAAAACATACTAATTAAATATTTTGATTTAGCTCTGTACTAATATTTTGATTACTTATTTGTCTTCGTGAAGACTGAAAGGTTTTTACATAATTTAGTTGGTGATTCTCGTTCAAGCGGTCAAGTTGTTTATCAGAATTCAAAAGTAATTTATGCGAATCACGAAAACGTCACTTTTATTATTATACTTAGATACTTTAATATTTGTCATAATTCTCTTAATTGTACGAGCTCTTGATGAGCGTTCATTAAAGAGAATTACAGTCCATTTTTACATTCATTTTCTTTTAATTACACGTTAATAGAATAACCTATTTCATTCGTTCCTGCATAAATATTCGTCATTTAAACTCACTAATAA